AAATGCCCATCTGCCCTATGACCCAAGGGCATTCATGGCAATATGACGTAGTAGTTACGGTGTCTAGATTATACGCGAAACCGTCACAGTTTGAGCCCAGCTGAGGTCTGATGAAAACAGTTCAGGCAAGGTCGAATTGGCAGTCCGCCCCAGTCGGGATGAGAATAGCCTTTGAGAAAATATGGCAATGTGAATTGAAGATATGAAGAAAAAAGATGGTGTGGCCTCTTGTATGATCACAGTATCCTTTCGATTCACAAAAGTGGGTTAACCTCGTTGTCGCAACTTGGTCTCGTTGTCAGGGCGACTTAATAGAACGCACCTAGTCCGAAGTCGTCTGGCATAGTAGTTGTCATGATTCCCAGCATCCGACAGTGAACTTGGTACATGATGCATCATCAGTGAGTTTTGCGATGCCGGCGAAACGTTTGAGAATGTACCAAGTCCACTGTCTGATGCTGGGAATCCGGACAACTACTATGCCAGACGACTTCGGACTAGGTGCTTTCCACTAATTCGCCATGACAACAAGACCAAGTTGCGACAACGAGGTCCACCCATTTCTGGGACTATGTGAAATTCACTGGAAATGCAAGGTATGCTCATGTGATTGTGATAGAATTGAATTACCACTTCTGAAATGAAATGGGCTGAATGTGTATGATATAAAATTGTGCCTTAAAAACTGCCAACTTGCCGACGTTCAGCCAACCCACCTGACATCGGAAAGGCTTGAAGGAGGCATGAATGTGCATGTGTTGTTTGAGGCCTGAGTTGGAGGTGAAACACTTTGAGCACAAAGTGCACACATAACTGCGACTGAGGCGAAGTCTGCCGACTGCAGCGCCGCCACTGCCTCGTGCTGCCTCTGCAACCGGCGTCCAGGCTCCGGTTGCGCGGATGCCTGTCTCCGAAGCAGCCAACAGACCCGGCTCCACGACTCGACAGAAGAGACGAGCCGGTCTCCTGCGTCGTGGCGACGACGAGGCGCCCTCCGAGCCGACATTTGCCGGCCTCCAGACGACCCGTCCTGGCGGCATGTGCGTCGCGGAGCCAGTCCACCAGACCGAGTCTGGCGCCGCGGTCGTTTGGTCCTCGAGAGGGGTCGGCAAAGCGGTCTGAGAATGACCCGAAGGCGTCGGTGACCGGCGGCCCGGTTGGCAAGTCGCCGAGCAGGCCGTGGAGGGAAGAAGACATCGGCCAAAGCCGTGAGGAGCAGCCGAAGAGGCGGACGAGGCTGGCGATGCCGGTGAAGACGTTCCACGACCGAAGGTCGGACTGACGCTTTGGTTGAACTGAACGGGTTTGGGCAAACTGGGCGGACCGCCGTCGGGTGGCCGGTCGGCCGACCAGCCGGTCTGCCAGGCGTCGAAGAGACAGGTCGTCTGGCCGGCGCCCAACGGGCAACAGAGTCCGGTCGGAGCACAGGCCGGCGACGCAACCGGCGTCGTCGAGGCAGGAGCCGAGACTCCGCGGCCTCGGATGAGACTGTGAACGGTGGCGTTCTCTCTGCTGGGCAGCAGGAGCGAAAGAGAGTCGGCGGAAGCCGGCCTGCAACGTCGTTGGGTGAGAGAGAATACGCAAAGGTCAGAGGTCAAGTAAGGCTGGTACGACAAATTAAAGAACACTATTCAACGTGAAAATCTGATAAGTGTTATCAAATCAACTCCAATGATGTTAGCATAAGGAAGCTTTCGAAGCTGCCAGTAAATCTTGAATAAGAATTCCAGTCATCCTATGCAACATGCGGTATGAAGGACTGATAAGTGAATTTTCCCAAAATCTGATGAGTCTCGGCAAGTTAACTACTACGCCTTCATCATCTTAAACGAAATAGTGTGAATACAACTCCTATCGCACAGCTGCTGGCAGTCTCTCGAGGCCTACTTATGAAAAGAGATATAAGTAGTGTAGTCGATTTTTATAGCAAATACCGCTACAGAATGTGGTGTAAAATTCACATGTACCCAGTGACTGGAGGGCACTCGTGACAGTCGGGTAGAGTGGTTAATTTGTCGAGACTATACGCTGCACCAACACACACCGAGTTCGATTCCCGCTGGGGATGCTGATGAGACTCGGACAAGTTCGCAACGGGATGAGAATACTTTTTAAGAAGGCAAGGTTGTGTGAAATCGCATGGCAATATTAGGTCCATTGATAGGACTGTGAAAAAATTCAATTGCCACTCCTTCATAATCTTATACATAACGGATGTATACAGATCTTGTTGAATACAAGTTCGCCTCACCAGTACTCCCACTATAATATAATATAACAAAAGATTTGTCTTCCTATAAATTCATGCCGGCCCTGTTCTCCACGGGCATTCGTGGAAGTCTGACCTGGTGGCAGCATTCCGATAGTATGAGCTGCACTTCTACAACCCTAGTTCGAGTCCTGTGGGAGGTGCTGATAAGACCTGGGCGAGATCGAACCGACAGTAAGCCATGAAGGAGAATACCTTTTTGGAAGCAAGGCCATGTGAAATGCAATTGAAATGTTAAGTCTACTCATATCATTGTGGGAAAATTCAACTACTATTCCTTCATCACCTTAAGCGAAATAGGGTGAACACATCTCATAAACTGATTTCTGCCCAAATGAAGTGAAGTGATCGAGGTTTCCAACCTCGACGAGGTCAACCGAAAGACAAACTTGACCGAAATGCACCACATGATTAAGTGCTTACAACTTCAGCAAGGCAAGCTCGTTTCCAAAGAACCTTTCACACTTTCATTGGTTATGGCTAACCTTAGAGGGAAACATAACACTTTCTAAATCTGGACGCAATTAAGTTGCCGAATTTAGATAAGATAAGAGTGGTTGTCCCGTAAACCAATGAAGGACTTGTTGAGGCTGTTGTGTCCAAGGATAAAGATATGCATAACGCA